TTAGTGTCATAAAGATAAACCCCTTAATTAACCTTATGTTTCGTTCTGTCGCGCGTTAGTGCGCAGTAGGCTAGGTACGTCGTTTAGTATCGGGCGAGCATCAGGCCTCGGGTAACATCTAGGTGCAAGAGCCCACCGAGTCGCCACATCCCGGCTGCAAGAAATAATTTCTTTGATTCCCTGTAGAAGGTGACGCCGTCCTTGATTGTGTCTACTCCATGAAAGATGTTGCCAACGTAGGTGTTTTGAAGAAGATGTCGAGCTATATCAGTGGTAGTCGAAGACAGATGGAAATGTATCGTACCGGCCAAGAGGAACGGGGAGCAAATAAGAACAAACGGTACGCGTGCGAAACGATATGTGACTAGGTTTTCTGAGCTTATAGGCTTCAATGGGTCATCTAACCATAGAAAACGAGTATAGTCCCGCGAGTCTTCATGTAAGCCGACCATAAGGAAGGCCTTTTTTATGTCACTTGAAATCAAGATCCTGTATAGTCTGCTCCGAATAAGAATCCCAGTGAGCTCTGGCAGTAGTACGGGTCCGCGATATAAGATGTCGTTAATACTGAGGTGTCCTTTCAGTTTAGCTGAACCATCGAATAGGCATCTTATCTTTATGTTTTCACCTTCTTTCTTGACAACTCCATGATGTGATAAATAATGGCAAGAATTCGTAACATCATTGGTTGGTATTCGCTCAATGATCTGTCTTTTGAGTTGGTCTTTGAAAATCTCATGATATTTCTGAAGGTAAGGAACATTCTGTCGCAGCGATCTATGCTGAGAGCACAAGCGCGAATACGCAAGAGAAAAATTGTTGGGTAGTTCGGCTGGATTCATCTTGAATGGTAACTTGACGACGTACCTTTTCTGCAATTCATCATAGTAGACGGTATCATTGAAGTGTTTGAGACACTGTTCATCATCTGGCTGAGAAGGGTCGTCTAATATCCGACTGTTTCGAGTCTCCAAAATTTGTTAACCAACTCAACAAGTTCCTTGTGATTTGGAGGACTTGAGGCATCGCCTGTCTCAGTGGTGGAGTTGACGGTAGTACAGGCGATATAGTTTTTTGCTTTGAAAGCTCTGCCTACAATCATATCTCCGATAGCTGTATGCAAAATTCGATAACTCTTTGAAAGAGTTCTGTAATGGAAGTCTTCTGACAATATGATGTCCCAGAAATAATCATTTTCGATGAGAATGGACGGTTTGCAGACGGAAAATAAATTAAAGCCAAGCCTGCCGTGGTCGCCAATTGAGCTGAATAGGCGAAGTGAAGGACGAAACGTTTATTGCATAGAGCGATCAGCAAAAAACTGAATTCTCCCTAGACTTATATACCATGCATATTCGATGCCGAGGAATACAAATGAATCGTTAGTGGTCGAGGATGCCGAGGAATACAGATGGATCGTTAGTGGCTGAATGGCTGAAGATGCCGAGGAATACAGATGGATCGTTAGTGGCCGAGGATGCTGAGGAATGCAAATGAATCGTTAGTGCCGAGGATGCCGGCCTGATTTTCTGTAGCTTTACAGAAATAAGCCAAAATGAAGCCATTAGCAGCCTAGACCATTCGCAGTAATCCGGAATCGTGTATGAATTGTTGCTAAAGGTTGACTCATTCGGTTCACCAAGAAAGAAATAAAACTTAGGGGCAAGTCGAGATTTGGCGCCCTCATGAATACGAACAAGTCGCTGTACGCAAGGCTGCTGGGGACAATCGTCAATGACTAGGGAGTCTGAACCATAAAATTCCCCGAGCCTTTACATATTGACGTTTTTAATCTGCTAAACACGAATATCAAATTTATTTGTTGAACGCCTCTTTCCTTGTTTTCGGTTGAGACCACATATCGTACACCTACAGTAAGCCTATAAAAAAGCCCTTAGCAAGCAACTTCAGTATCGTTTTCGTGATCAGCATGTCGAATGACTCCCCTATGCCAAGTTCCAGCCAAATCTGTTTTTATAATTTTTCCCTTTATACCGTACACCCACCGTGACCCTCACTGCGACGTCAGAAATTGGCAGGACAGCAGCTGCGCTTGTAGCCTACTTCTACTTCATAGCCAACAGAGTGGCAAAATTTGAATGCCCCATGTTGAGTAAGAGGAAGGTTATCAAATAAATTGTAAAACTTAGTTTCCAACTCAATATTTGATAGCTCGAGATATTCCGTAAAAGGTAATAACTCACAGGATCGCTGCAAGAACTATAGCTGCTATATGAAGGTGGTGCACGAATTCCTTGCATGATCACTGCATGATCACTGACATCACAGAGCAATGACGCATAAAAATGAAGCGTAGTTTGAATCACGCAACTTGCAGCACTTGACTTGCCTGCCTGCGTACATTTGAAATAGTGAGTAAATCGAGTCACGATCGGATGTCGCGACTTTCTTTCGCCCTGTTTTTTATGTCGCGATTAGCCCGAAAGTCGCGACAGAAGCGGGAATGCCGCAGTACCTATTAGACCCCGGACAGACTTCACGCGACTTAATCGCGATCTAACCGCCAAGATTTCCATTCATTTTCATTTCACATTCAAAAACGTCGGCCTGGAAAAGTATCACAATCGAATGCGAGTTGATCGGCATGGAATGATGTTGTAACAGTTGTCTCGTCGCGATTCAGTCGCGACGACCAAATCGCGTGAAGTCTGTCCGGGGCCTAGGTTGGCTAATAAATAAGTTCGGTCGCTTTTGCGGCTCTTACAAATGCTGCAGACATATGTTTGTATAATGTTTGGTTCTCTAGAAAGCGCGCTTCAGTGGGAATTGGAATTTGAATTTTGTTTGAGAAGAACATATTTTCCAAGGAAAAAAGCCGCAAAGAAATAAAAACATTTTTCTCATAGTGCGCAACTACAAGAAAATCTGGTTTTTTTTTTGATAAAAGATCAAAATGGCAGGACACAGTTTATTGTTATTCACCAAATAGGAAAAACTCTTTTTTATCCAAATATCAAATTGCTGTTCTTTACATCCATTACAGCATGAAAACGAAGCCTAGAAAGTCAAAAAACTGTGCTTTTGAAAATTTAGCCATGCTGAGTCATAATTGTCTTTACAAATGATAAATTATCCTGAATATCTGAAATGTGATAAAGGAAAATTTGAGCTACCTTCTTGCAGAAAAAACATGGATAAAAAGCAAAAGAAAATTTCTATGAAGATTTGCATGTCAAAACAAACTTATATTTTAGCCAACCTAATGTTTTTTATCTTCCATTTTGTGTGGGGATCCACTGCGCGAGCTAACCACGAATGTCTGAGCGGTTGTTGCGGGGGAAATCGGTTACGGTTATAACGTTACGGCACTCGCGTCCGTTTTTGCGGAGGAAATCGCGAGCTCGTCCAAGCGCGAGTAAGAATGGCTGGCTTGCACAAGTTTGAAGGCAATTATCCTGCCCGGGTGAGGGTGCTAAGCGACAGAACTTGTTCTGTTTTTATACTTGGAAGGTAAACAATCCACCACATCAAAAACTCGATATGTTTAATTTTGTCAAGCCACTTCAAATTCTTCTCTCCTGCTATTTGAAGTTCTGTATCACGCTGAGGACTAGGTCAAATTATGAAGCACAGGCTCCATCAAAAACATGAAGCTATAGGAGTTACAGCCCACAGGAATCAAGACCCTAAGAATTTTCGATACACTCCGCGTTACACTCAAAAAAGTTTTTTTTTTCAAGTAGATAATCAGAGTTGATTCAAGTAATTCAAAGGACTAAATTTAAGCAGAGAATTTACTCGCGTTCTAACTACCCTAGTTCCACGCGTACAAGGCGCACCTTTTTCGATTTTTCAAACGAGCTACTCAACCGCTTCAACCTGTTTCGGAACGCGAACCTTAAACCGTTCAATTCTCTTAGGCAATACGGAGCCCGGTATAGGATTTTTTGGTCGCGAAGGTTGTGGCATGTTTGGGCTGGCGGGTTTTAGAAAAAAAAATCCCCCGCGCCTTGTACGCGTGAAATTATGGTACTAGGTTGTCCCACGAGTCTTTTCATATTCGAACCCTTTCAAACTGATACTTCTCAAGAACTAGAGCACCGACACTGGCTGCAAATTTGTGGCAGTATTTCTGAGTGAGTAAGCTACATATTTGCGAGGAATGAACCGGTACAGGCGAAGTTTGAAAACTCAGTTCATCATTTTGCTTGATTTCTACATCAGATTTCTACATGCAGCAAGTGTATCGTCGACTTCTCGGGATTGAGGCGTGTCACTGCACTAATCCGTAATCCATGATGATAGTACGGTATTAGGCGCGGTGCAGAATCGATATTGCCGAACAGCTGATCATTTTTCGACTTAAAAACGATAGGTGGGGGTTTTTTTGCAACTAATCATGCTTTTCTTCTCAAATTTCAACAGGAGTTGCCAAAGGTGAGTCATGAGGGGTTCTATTACGCTTATTTCATAAAAGTTTCTCGATTTTGAATCCGAGTGCAGCTTTTGCACTCTAGATTTATATTAGGCATTATTACTTTTTTTACACTAGTCGTAAGTATCGGATTTGCTTTTTCGTCAGATCTCTTCATGATGCTTACCTTATCCTGTTCATGTTATTTTGTTTTGTTCATAAATATGAAGCACAGGTAAGCGTAATGAAGAGATTCAACGAAAAAAATCAAAGCAAATACAGTAAATACGACTGACGAGTAAAATAAGAAGTAAATGTCCTCAATAAACTCCTAGAGTGTAAAATCCGCACTCAAAGTGCGTCAAAATTGAGAAACTATTATGAAATAAGTGTAATAGTGCGTTTACGACTCACTTTTGACAACTCCTTTTGAAATCTGAAAAGAGAAGCAGGAGTAGTAATTGCAAAAAAACGGTAATGCTAAATTGAAGGTTGAGTAAATCGCTTCCTGGGTCAGAGTCCTACAGGTTTTGGAGACTGATCGAAAAACGCAATCGCAACTTGATTTGACTAGAACTCGGATTTTGCGGTTTTCGAATGTTGTTCGAAGGAGCGGATATACACTGGTATCTCCTTCACCACATTTATTCTTAACAGTTTTCGAAATTATCGCGTTTACGAAATTACTTAATAAGACATAATAAACTATGCTAGCGCTCAGTCAGTATTACTCCAAACAATTAAAGTACAAAAAGAATTCTAAAAAAGGAAGCAAAGCCATTTTTGAATGCAACAAGGACTTGTAGGGTAGAGAGAAACGATTTTTGGAGAACAACAACAGTGAAATTGATTACTAAAGAAGACGAACAAGCACATAAGTGAGGCCGACAATACTCAGCTACGGAGTAGCAACAAAAAACTGATCTACGAAGAAAACTGACTGATCGAGCTCAAGTGAGCTTGCAGCACAAAAATAAACATGTCAATCAAAAAGAAATTGCAGAGCTCATTAAAGACCATCAATTAGAATTGACTCACAAGATAAATACAGACAGTAATGCCGCTCCGCACCGCGGACAACACATTCTATGTACACAACGATTAAGAAACCGTCTGAGTGACATCATCGACAAGAACGCGGGCATCTGTCGTTTGTACCGCGACTTCGTGTTGTAGATCCTGCAAACAATTGAGTGATGGGAAAGTATGGGACACTTAAAGGCAGTGGATCGGCAAAATTTGACAACCTAGGACTTTAACGCAGTAGGTTCCCTATCGTCCAAGTATGAAAACGGTGCAATCCCGGTTGCACAGCATGCCTTCCCTGTGGAGAAAATCGCTCTCAAATTTACACGCGCAAGCCAATCTTACACGCTTTCGGACGAGTTGGCAACTTCCTTCTCACCATTAGAGGTTGCCCTCCGCAATGCTATAATCATTGGGTCCCGCAACGATTCAGCGTCATCGGCCTTGCTCCACTCGTATTTTGAAAGGAAGGGGGTTGAAAAACGCTCAATTTCGCCGTTTTCAAGCTCTCTAGAGTGGATTTTCGTGACCAGCGTACTGAATAACCCCAGATAAGCGAAAATTTGACTAGGCTGAAATTTGCTGAGCCACTGCCTTTAAAGGCAGCGTCCAAGCAAATCTGGACATACGTCTGTTGTGAAAAGTAATTTTGGGGCCCTAACTAAGGCAGCTCAAAAGGTAAACTTACAGTTGAGATATTCGCCTCCAAACTGGACCCCGGAATCGTATTCTCATGGATTCATGGCGCGACACGCGCGGGTCCCGCGCGAAACTGATGTGTCGCGCCATGAATCCATGCGAATACGATCTCGGGGTCCAGTTTGGAGGCGAATATCTCAACTGTGAGTTCACTATTTGAGCTGCCGCTTGGGCAGTGGCTTAGAGCTCCAAGATTACCCTCCAAGCATACATTCGATAGTCTAGAGACAGGGCGCCAAAAGTGAAGGTTGTATGAACATCTGACGTCATAAATAGTGAAGGTTGTATAAAAAAGATCAGGGAAGAGAAAATGACGTAGAACAGATATAAAAAGCAAAAGAAACTGCTGTAAACCGGATAAAAGCGCTGCAATAAAATTTGAAGCCCTTCACTTGGCGGCTTTTCAGAGTGCAAGTTTTCGTTCCAGGACCAGCAATTCGCAACACGGGGTTTTGATTTTTGATGCGTCCTTTGAATTTTTACCCCCTCATTGACGTTCCTGTTTCCTGGGACGTTGTCTGGATTGTTGCGCTTATCATTCTGAGCAACAATCGCCCAAGCTGGAAAAAAATCGCTGCGAAAGCACTGAAATAGAGCAAAGCAAAGAAAAATGCACTTTTTACGGTTTTTGCAGAAAATTTCACCACAATCGAAGAGATAAGGGCTGGGTGGTTGTCTGCATTATGAACAGAAACAAGATCTATAGAATGCACGAAAAAACCGCATGAAATGAGTTAAACTGGGAAAAAACAAGAGATTTTCGAAAACAAGGGTTTTGCCGGATTTCTCGATTAAATAAAAAAATGTGGTTTTGGGACGTTGTCAGCATAAAAATAGAGATCAAGAGCTTCAAAATGATATATAGCTTGTTAAAATTCGGTTCGAAACAGCGAAGGAAAGGGTACCAGAGCCAAATGCCCCGCGCCCCGCGTTTGGGGTAGCGAGGTAGCGCGCAGCGCGCGGAGACGCAGACGAGCAGCGGAGACAGACCAGAGCCGACGGGGCATTTGGCTCTGGTCGTAGATCTCCGCGGGGTCTCAACGAAACCCCGCAAAATTATATATCATTGTGATCGTCATGACACGACGAGGAGAACGGACAACGTCCCAAGCTTTGAAAGTCACACATTAACGAGATAGACCAGCATTTTCGTGTGCGACTCTCTGCGCAAGATTTAAGCGCAGTTTCTCGTTTTCATTTAACTCCAACAGATTTCCTAAACTTCTTAAAGTCTATTCTGGTCAAGTAAGAGGTTAACTGAGGAATTTTGTCCTGAATTCTAGCAAAAATTTCACAGAAACCTTCTTTTTAACGTGAAAAAGGCCATGAAAACGCAAATTCTCGGTTTCGCTGAGATAAGCTAAAGATATTATTCCCTATATTTGCTTTATTAACATTCGTTCCGATGTAGTCAGAATAATAACATCCGGGGCTTCGCCCCAGATGACTTCTGTTTTTTTTCCAGGTGAAGGTTGTGTTCCCTCATAGCCCTCAAAGTGAAGGTTACCAGAGTACGTGGCTCTATGTATCGAGGGTATGCCTCCAAGTGAGATACATTACTACGAGAGCCAGATACCCCCAGTCTGGTGGGACACTGCCTTTGAGAAAGAGAACTCATGGAATGCTCCAATTTCCATATATGTTAAAGCAAACTTCTTTTTTAGCCAAAATCCATGTAAGCCACTCACATCTTATATACAAAGCTGAATGTCTGTTTGTCTGTCTGTATGTCCGTCTGTGTGTGTACATGTGTTCCGAATAGAATATACCATTTCTGAATTGATCCGGACAACCTTGCACACATACACGTCGGAACCGGGCGGGTGTCATAGGCTACATTGGTTCGTCATCGATCGATATCGATTTTATCGATTTTTTATGAAGTTGACCTGCGGGGCTGGGAGTTGTTACAGGGGGGGGGGGGGGTAATCGAGCATGCCTTACGAATACAATATTAGTTTTTGAAATCGTTCATTAGTTTTATTCATTTTATCGAATTTTCTTGCAAAGTTTGAGCCACGGGACTGGGAATTGGCACAGGGGGGGGGGTGAGAGAGCATGCTGATTACTAACACAGGGGGAATTGAGAACTGGCATGTATTAGGTCGCTCCGGGAGTCGCTCCGGGAGTTCGCGCTGTTTTTCAGACAAATGTTTGAACCACCTAGAATGAAGATAGATAACTACCTATGCAGACTTTCTTCCTCTTTCCAATGGCTATGTTTTCGTTGTGACTATTTCGATGAGCACTGAGATAATCGACGAAAAGTAGAACCCATCATTTTTACCATGTCTAACTTTCGCTAATTTTTAAAATTTTCATTTTGAGTTTTTGAAGGCGCTCTAATAACCACCTGATAGAGCAAATTTTTCGCAAATCAATGCAATTTTTGCATTATTTCAGCATCTTTTTTAGAATTTTGCTGAATTATTTCACGAGAGCATTGAATTTTGAAAAAATCGCGAGACACATAATTGCACCAAACACTGCGAAATCCCCAAAATATCAATGTTCTGAAACTCGATTATTACAATCACTAGTATTACGAAGTATAGGAGCGATTACGGCGTGAAAATGGATTGATTTGGGAATTTCCACTATACTCTTGCGCACCCGTAAAATTGAGAATTACAGCGATTTTGTCTGCAAAAGTCGCATGTTTCGCAAAGAGAAGGTGGCTGTCAGAAAGAGGAGGAAAAAATGCGCCGGATGGTACCTAAACTGTTCAGCGTCTGATGTTCTGCGAGGTTAGAATGAGCCAAATATAAAATTTGATCACTTCAGAAATGCCAGAGAGATGCAAAAAGTTGCACTGATTTGCAAGAGATTTGCCCTATCAGGTGGTTATTAGAGCGCCTTCAAAAACTCAAAATGGAAATTCGAAATTAGCGAAAGTTAGACATGGTAAAAATGGTGGGTTCTAGTTTTCGGCGATTATCTCAGCGCTCATCGAAATAGTCACAACGAAAACATTTTGGAAAGAGGAGGAAATTCTGCATAGGTTTTTGTCTATCTTCATTCTAAGTGGTTCAAACATGTGTCTGAAAAACAGCGCGAACTTTCGGAACGACCTAATAAAAGTGGGCACAGGGAAAAATTGTACATGGCAGGAATGGGAGCTTTATCATAGAGTTTTGACAGAGTCGGGCAGAGCCGGGTAAGCCAGCTATTGCAAATACGATATTTTTTAGAATTGTCTGTTACTTCTGTCGAACTTATCGATTTTTTGCAAAGTTTGAGCCAAGGGGCTGGGAGTTAGCACAGGGGGGGGGGGGTTGAGTGAGCATGCTGTTACTAACACAGGGGAGAAAACTGGCATGTAGAAGTGGGCACAGGGAATAATTTTACAGATAGCTTTATCATAATTTTTTGACAAGGCCGGGCGGAGGCGGGCAAGCCAGCTAATGTTTAATAATTTTTGAACTTGCTGAAAGTCAATCATTTTGACAAATTATAAGCTTTGAGCACTATCTGCGTAGTCAAGCATGTGAGACCATCCAAAGTATCTGCAATGGTGAGGGAACAGTCACCCCAACTTACGACATTCCTTGCAACACTTTGAGCCAGGACATATGGTCATTAGGCGTTTCGAAACCGCAGGCACTTATGATTTACTTCCTTGCAAATAAAAGCAAAATTGGTGGCAACCATCCGATAAAGCTTTTTATGCTCTGTCCATCTGTATGCAGTTTACCTCAACTTTCGTTCTTCGGAACATATAGGCTGAACTGATTTTTGGCCTTCCATTGCGCCAAAAAATCGCGAATTTTTAAGTTTTCGCATTATCTATCTGAAAACAAGGACAATTTTCAAATGCACGATACACCGTTTGACAGAGCTTGGAGAGCTCTTTCGAATGGTATGCCAACTCATCAAGACCACAGTACAGCATCGCAAAGGAGAGATGTTCAAGAAGCTTTGTCCGAGTTCTTCGAGGCGCCACGCCAAGCGTTGTGAGAGAAGCGGTGACGCGTTACAAAAATGATAGGCGAAAGTCGCTTGTATAATTGAAGTCTGAGTTGCAGCTTGCTTCTTGTTGACCAAACAAAAAATCTCAAAATGTAGAAAAAACCGAACTGTCCCATTACTTTCCGATCACCCTAATAAAAATTGCAAACAAGCTAGTTCTCAATGTAAGGCACGTGCTACACTCACTCCACTTCATGCACTTCGCTACTGGTTGAATCAGTGATCTGACCAATGGCGAAGTGGACATCCGCTTCGCTACTGGTCAATTCTGATTTGACCAATGGAAAAGTGAACAAATTTTGGAACTATCGATATTACATGTCTTGAATAGTGAGGGCCAAGCAAAAGGTGTGGGTGGCACACAATAACTTGTAGATCCAAGTCGGCCCCTCCCTATATGTGCCTAGCGGCAGCCGCTATGCGATACTTTCCGCCTATGCGCATCCCTGTCACAAACGTTCCACACATTAGAGTCAGAACAATTC